ACTATTTTAGTCCTATTTTACTTTTGATTTGGAAAAAATAAATCTACCAAGGTCAATAACTGCTGAACGAGAAAGGACAGAACAAAAATGGCTAAAACCCAAGATAATGAGGAAGCGAAAGAACACCTGACTTTCCTTAATAAGTTCATGTTACTAAACCCAGATGAATTACAATTCAAGGTCCTTAAGCAACCAGTAGTTAGGACTGATTGCTGAGCAGTTAGATCCAGAAGAAGGGGGTTTGGTATTATAGGACTACAGAAAGGTAACTTTCCCTTTTCCAGCTCATCACCAAATTTTTTTAAAAAAGAAAAGGGAACAAAAGTACATGTTAGAAATTTGACTTTCAATTCCTGGCAAAATTCTGGAAAGTACTATTAAAGGAAGGGATGGTGAGTACCTCAGAATGAGAGGTGATTACAAAGAGATAAAGGATGGGTTATGCCAGACTTAACTTCATTTTCTTTTCTGGCAGGGTTGGTAGACTTGGTAGATCAGGGGAATGCCACAGAAAACACTTACCTAGATTTTAACAAAGCATCTGATATAGTTTCTCATGTTATTTTTGTGGATAAGATGGAGAGATATAGAGTGTAGGGGAGGGTTAGATGAATTTATAACTAGTGGAATGGCAGGGTCTCTAAAATAATAATTGATGATACAATGTCAACTTGGAAGGAGGTCTTTAATGGCGTGCTCATTTTTTTATCACTGTTTTAAACATTTTTATCACTGACTAGGATAAAGACACAGATGGACTGCTTATAATATTTGTAGATGACAGAAAGTGGTGGCTAGCTAACATGCTGGATGACAGAATCAGGATCTAAAAAAGAACGAGACACTAGAAGTAGGACAAACTTCATAAGATTAAATTTAATAAATATAAATGTAAAGTTCTTACATTTATACAATGCACATTATTTTCGCAACTTATGTTCACTTAAAGGGTAGTCAAAAATGTCAAATGTTGTAGGTGCTCTTTCTATTTCATAAACTTCAACGTATGAGTGAAAGCTTAGAAGCGGGGATGAAGATTCCATGAATGTGGGAAAATAGTAAGGACACCAGTCTGACTAGAGCAAGGGATTTTATTTATATTCCCTATCACAATACCTTGCATATATGTAAATACTTGCTGAATTGAATTAAATTGTGTAGAAGATAAGAATGGTTAGGTACAGCAGAGCTACAACAAGTCTTAATGATGAGCTAAAAAACATAATGGGAATTCATTGTTAAGTTTTATAGTTTATCAATTAATTAGTAAACATTTATTATTTACCTATTATGTTTCACAGACTATGCTGAATATAAAGACAAAAGATAAACAGTCCTTGACTTCAAAGAATTTATTAAGAGAGATATGTACATATACACAAAACAGATATGAGGTACTCTAGAACCTGTGGGGATCAGGAAAGTCTTCATGTAGAAAGTTGAACTTCAGCTGATACTTGAGAACCAGTTGGTAAGGTTGTATGACTTCCTCCAACTCCATAACAACATGTGAGTAAGGATGGAGGAGGTGGATGGTGGGTATAAATCAAGAACTGGGATTTGGCAAGGCATGAGCATCAAGATGATGGGAGCAAGGGACTTCAGAGTAGAGGATAGCACAGTGTTAAAACTATTTAACTTAAGTGTCCATGTTAGATAGAGAAGTAAATGAAGGTACAGCAGAGGTGACAACCTGGGAAAATACTGAGGGTAGAAGGAGTAGAGGTCATGGTAAGCATGAAAAAGGTTCAAAATGAGTAAGGTATAAGGACAGTGGGATGGAAAGAAATTTATACTCAGATAAAAGAATTTCAGAGTTATCTGATCATGGAAATGGAAAAATTATGAAAAACAGCAACATCAAAGATGTGACCATTCCTGTGTGTAGCTGAGGTAGAACCAAAGAATAAATCATGAGAGCTAAGCTGAGCAACCAGGAAGTAAGGGTGGTTGGGGGAACATTAACATGGAGGCAGACATCTCCTAGTACAAGGACAGGAATTTTGGTAGAAGGGAAGAATTAGATATGTTAGATATTGAACTTCTTGAGAAAGTATGGTAGGTAATAGTTACAAAGATCTTGATTAGGTGATAAATGTGGGTAAAGGGAACCCCAAAAGAAAGGTTATTGACTGTAGCACTGATGAAACAGTAGTGGCACTAATGATATCTGGAGGTGGTTCATCTGATAGTAGTATACTGTTTGGATCAAAGAGGGTAAAGACTAAAGACAGTTAAGACTAATTGTGAGGCTACTGTAATCTTCCAGACACTAAGTGTCAGCAGTATGTACAGAGAAAAAACTAATAAATTAGAGTGACACTATGAAGAAATGAGTGATACTCCTGAACTATAATACTTGAAGTGACAAGAAACGCTAATTTAAGCTATGGATACCTCTTACTCATCAATAGTTCTCAACTCATTCTATTGAGAGCTATTCTCAACGGGAATTTAATCTCTGATTTTTTAAATAGAAGCCAAACATGAAAGATTTCCTTAATAGAAATGCACTGTACACCCAAACTTGTTAATAGGAATCTATTTCACAAAGTAAGAGATATCTGCATCATACAAACGCGCGCACGCGTGCACACACACACACACACACACACACAATATACACAAATAAGTTAATTTACTAAACATTGCTGCACAAATTTCTGATAATCAGTTACTTTTTGTATGTTCTAAGGTCTTGCTGATGCTAGCGGCAGCTGATTTTTTTAGCATTCCATCTTCCCATATTAACTTCTTCACTTGGGTTATCCATTCTATTTTTCTTTTTTAATTCTTTACCATCTAGAGACCACTTAATAGTATGCTATAGAAACATTACTTCTTAGTTCATGACACGAAATGCTCTTATTTCATCAACCTTACCTGTCACCCTTCCTAATTTACTCTGAAGAAAACAAAGTTCTATAAACTTTGACTCCTAGATAATAAACCTTTTATCAATTTTCTATGATTCTAACTGTACAAAGAACAATAAAGAATCTTTCCTTTATACCACAAAGTTGATAAGGGGCAAGAAAACAACAAAAAATATATAGTCTCAGTTTTCAAGATAACTATTCTAGTCATCCACAAGCAAAAGCAGGGTGTTGAAAGCTTCTGAAAGATACATTTCCCAACCTCTCTGTGTTTCTGGAGATGATGATAAAGTACCTTGAGGCAGAGGTGGAGCTCTCAATAAAGGACCACACAGTAGCCAAACTCATGGTATCACACAACCCTGGGTCTAATTGCTGTTCAAAGCTGGGGGTAGACAAGTGAGTTTGGGCCAGGATTCTTCCCCCCCCCCAATCCCCTCAAGGTTGGGCTATCTCCACTTCAGTTTTCATTATTCTCTTACTTCAACAATGATACTTTTCGAGGTATCATTAATGTAACAGGTAGAAGTGATTACCATTGCATATTTCTATGCCATAGAACAGATGGCTTGGCTAGCATAAAACAGGACAGTACACATTATCAGTGGTAATGTATTTTCAGAAGCAGCTAGATGGCTCAGTGGATGGAACACTGGGCCTGGCCAGAGTCAGGAAGACCTGATTTCAAATCTGGCCTCAGATACTTGCCAGCTGTGTGAACCTGGGCAAGTCACTTAACCTCTGTTTGATATAATTCCCTGGAGAAGGAAATGGCAAACCACTCCGATATCTTTGCCAAGAAAACTCCATGGACAGTACTGGTGTGCTATGGTCCATGGGGTCATGAAGAGTGACATGTGACTGAAGAATACCAAGTTTTCATTCCTTCAACTAAATATTTACTTAACTCAGGTGTGTGTGTGTGTGTGTGTGTGTGTGTGTGTGTGTGTGTGTGTGTGTAAGGTGGAGGAGAAGAATGATAATAATAATTATAGTAACACTAGCTAGCATTTATATAGCACCTACTATATACCAGTCACCATGCTAAGTGCTTTACAAATATTTTCTCATTTGAGCTTCACAACAACCTGGAGAAATATTTACTGTCATTACTCCCACTTTAAAGATGAGAAAACTGAGGCAAACAGAGGTTAAATGACTTGCCAAGGCCACACAGCTAGGGACTGGGACTAAATTTGAACTCAGGTCTTTCTGACTTCTGGCCCAGTGCTCTGTGTACTATGGCACCACCTAGCTGCCTCAGGAAGAGAGAAAGGGGAAGGGATTGAACAAAACTGCAACACTGTGGCATAGCTGATTAAGGACTGACCTTGAAATTAGGAAGACCCTGGTTGAAATCCTACCACTGATACACAGCAGCTGTGACCATGGGCAAGACACTTAATTTATCAATGCCCCAGGCAAGTCTAAGACTAAGTTACAGACAGTTGTCAATATCCATGGAGTAAGCAATTTCACACTTGGTCTCTATGTTGCCCTCATCTATAACTTCGTAAATTTTTGAGGAGGAGCTGTTTAGGGAGGAAGAAGACTTATTTCTTAGATGCCTCTTAACACCATTCCCAGTCACTTCTACCAAGGTCACATTTGAAACAAAATGCAGTTTTACATCTAAGGATTGTCAATATAAACCCACTATGGAAAAAAAAAACAAAACCTGTTAGTCTCCTAATGGCTTTTTAATTGACATAAATGGATAGCGATCAGCACAGATTGTGTATAAATTGTGTACAGCCTGTGAACTCTTTAGCTTCTCAACTTCTCTAGCATCATACACACCTATCAGGCAAATGGCCATAGGTTGCCATAATTGCTACAACTTCATGTTCTGGGTCAGTATCAAAAAGTATTTATATTCACTACTGACAATAAAGGACATGGGTACACACAATGCTTCTTCCTTTGTGGAGAACAGCAGGTGGACTGTGTCAGCAATAATGGAGGGCATGGGATCAGGGGTAGTCCAGCCGGATGGGGGCGCTGTGAGAAGTGTTTTACTGGAACAATGTGGTTTAGTGGAGGGAAGCAGGCCCGGTCCAAGCCTACAAAGTGGAAAGTGGTGAGGAAGGAATAACTAACCATAGCCTTGAATGACAAACGTACCTGAGCAAACTTGTGGATCTGTTCCACCACTGCAGCAAAAAGAGCATGGACACTTTCATCAATCAGGCTCTGCATATAATGCACTGCTTCTTCATCAGACAAGTCTAAACGGAACTTATCCTGCACCTAGAAAAGAATTTGATGGCTTCTTATATGATGAAAAACAAACACAAATTTTTCTAACAACAGAATCAGACCAGTAAAGGTATTGTTATAATATATAGCAAGTTATTTCCATGGAGGAGTAATGACCCATAACTCACAAGATACAATTCTGAATGAATTACAAGGCTATTCCTTTGAATATAGCCACTGACTATAATGCTTAATGTATTATATATTCTATATACATACTGTGTACATAATAACTTGTTCTATGTTTAAGACAAAACATTTACATAAAAATGTTAATAAAAATAAGATTCTGTTAGGCCCTTCTAACTTTAAAGTAAATAAAGCAGATTAAAATAATTCTTTGTAATACATATTTAAGGGCTTATGAAACTTTTTTTTAAACTAGAACCACCATGTAAGAAGAATTTCAATCTATAGATTATATTTGCTCACATTTTCCTTCTTTTTCTGTCTGATATTCTTATTATGAAACTGTTCAAGAGTGGGAAATTATATAACTGCTTAGCTCTTGGTCCTCAAGAACCTTCAGAGGCTATGCACAAATCTATTTATAGCAGTAGTTTTTGTTACAGCAAAGAATTTGAAACAAAGTGGGTACCCATTAACTGGGTATAACAGCTGAACAAACTGAAGAAATCTGGCAATGAATATGTGGAGCAAGAGTTAGGAGGTGAGGATGACATTGAGGGCCTGGATGACTAGGGGGATGGTGGTGCTCTCAACAGTAATAGGAAAATTCATAAGGGGGAGCATTTGAGGAGAAAAATAATGAGTTTGCTTTAGAAACATTTAGTTTAAGATGGCAACAGGATATCCAGTTTAAGATGCCCTAGAAGGAGGTGGTGATTATGATTTTAGCTCAGGAGAAACTAGGGCAGGACACAGAGATCTGGGAACCATCTGCCTAGAGATACTGAATCAATGGGTTCTAATTTCATTAAATGAAATGGTATAGAGGGAGATTATCAAAACATGAGTGAAGAACCAGCAAAGGAGGCTAAGGAGTGGTCAGGAGAACAAGGATAGAAAGTAATGTTACAAAAACTGAGAGAAAAATTGTGATATGGGGTGATTAACAGGCAGAATGCTGCAGAGAGGTCAAGGAAGATAACAAGGGGAAACTGTGGAACACAATGGTACATGCCCTTATGTAATCCCTGAAACTGGAGAGGCAGAGGCTGAAGACAGTTTGTGCTTAGGAGTTCTGAGGTGTAACAGGCTAAATTTATTGGATTTCTGCACTATTTCTAGCACCAACATTGTGAGCCCCTGGGAGCAAGGGACCAACCAGGCTGCCAAAGAGGAATAAACAGGTAGGTCCAGGTTGGAAAAATGGAGCAAGTAAAAGCTCCCTTGATCAACATTAGAGTTGATATCAGGTCCATGAGTAGCTGCTATACTTCCAACACCTGAGCCATATAGGGAAACCCTGTCTCAAAAAAAAAAAAATTACGATTGGATTGGATGATTAGATTGCACTGGATTTGGCAATTAAGTGATCGTTTGCAACTTTGGAGAGGGCAGTTTCAGTTGACCGATGAGGATGGAAGGATTTAGAAGACAGTGAGAAGGAAGAAGAGGCACTGATAGCATCTGGCTTTCTCAAGGAATTTTCTATCTAACATCAGTGCCTTTACTTCCTTTATTCTCACTCCCTTCTAAATCCCCTGCAAACTGGCTTCCATCCTCTGGCCACTGTCACTGGCTGTACCCCATGCCTCAAATGCTCTCCTTGCTCACCTCTACCTCCTGGCTTCCCTGTTTTTTCAAGTCTCAGCTAAAATCCCACCTTCTACAGGAAACATTTCCTCATTCCTCTTCATTCTAGTGCCTTCCGTTTTTATTTCCTCTATAAAATTTATTTATCCTGTATATAACTTGAGTACAGGTGTTTGCATGTTGTCTCCTCCTCCATGAAAGCAGAGACTGTTTTTTAAAATTTATTTTTGTTTCATTTATTTTATTATTTATTTATATGTCCCCAGTTCTCAGCAGAGTGCCTGGCACATAGTATCTGCTTAATGTTTATTGACCAACTCTCATTATCATCCACTCTCTAAGGATGTAAAAGTAAATGCTGAAATGTGAATTCTAAGCTTAGTACTATCATTTGCTCTTGGTTTCATATTAAATGAATGATAATTGAAGAAATATTAAAAAATAATAATAGGATACATCACTTGATGGGCATAAATAACTACCTGAAAAAGAATAAAGAACAAGAAAATGCTACAGCCTCCTAAGCCTGTTTTGTTTATACCATTTTGGCCTGTGTGGGAAACTTCCCCTACTTGTGTTTTATTCTTTACCTGCCTATGGCTATGTTAATGTGAGTCTAGGATGGGATGGGTAGGGGAATATGATATGGAAGTTAAACTCCAGTTATGATATGTCTCATCTCAAACACTATACCAGCAACAACACAAGCTTACAGATCTTGCCAAGCAGAAAAGGTGTTTTATATGATGCCAATGGCCATTCTAGTTATTACTAGGCTTAGCAATGACTTGACGAATCTTTTGGTAACTCCTAAAAGGCTAGAAAAAATTATAAAGTGATTGCGATCTATTCATACAGGGAGTGTCTGTAATGCCAAAATCACAGATCCTTTAAGCATTTAACTTATTCTGAGTGACAGAATTGGCTGGTAAATGAAACTCATTATTTCCTGGGTAGGTAATTCGCCTACTCTGTCTTGCTTCAGTTTCTCATCCATAAAAATTCAATGATGATGTAAGAAATTCAACAGATGTTTCAATTGCTGTAAGAAAAAACAAACATGAAAAGGATTTCTCTCAAGAGGATGTAATGAACAAAAACTTGAAACACTGTAATAACAATGGTTCTGAATATCTGTCATTTAATTTGAATGATACTAGAAGGGATATAATTAATGATAAACACAATTGCTACTCAATTGATGACAGTTTCACTTTGAGACATTCAAATCCTACTTAGGATGCCAATTTTATACATAATGGCTCTTAACTTAAAAGGAGAGAACATTCTTTTGATGAGTTCTGCACTTTCTGCTTGAAGAAATCTTCACTAAAAACACACCCTGGATAGCACAGCATTTCACACTAGAAGAATACACTGTAATCAATGGACATTCCTGGACCTAACCTTAGGTAAAGAGAAGAGTATGCTCTTTAATACTTGCAGAATTGTTTGTATATCATTGAATCAGTGGTTCCTGGTGTTGTCAAATTTAAAGGTCATATTTAAATCTTCCAAGTATTCCTGTTAAATATAGAGGACCAATCCTCTTTGCATCTAGTTTTGAATTTGACCACTTATTTGAAATTCTAACTCTTTAATTCATAGTGTCAACTAAACTGGAAAGAAATGACAGTTACTGTAGTTAATAAAAAAATTAGGGAGGGGCCTACTTTTTTAAAAATGCATTTTAGTTCCATGAAACTTTTTAAATATATTCAACTGAATCTCAACTGAACTATTCACCAAAACAGCTAATTCTCAATTATTTGTATTAACATATTTTTAAAAAATGAATATACCTTCTTACACACACATATATACATATATACGCAAATTCATACATGTATATGCACTTATATATCTATGTATATTTATGTATGTGAGGTAAGTTGGCATGGGGCACAGAGGCCCAGCCTTTAAGTCAGGAAGGTATGGGTTAAAATCCTGTCTCTGATACATACTAGCTATATGCTTCTGGGTGGGCAAGGCACCAAACCTTTCAGTGTCTTAGGAAACTCCCTACAATTATAATTTGCAGAGCAGCTGTTGATCTACATTTGTAGACAGTGCTTCCTACCTGAGAGTTCCCTATATTGAAGAAAACACAGGTCCAGACTAATCCACAACACTCCTTGGCCCCATGATATCACCTAACAGAAGATTTGAATTGTTACAGTAACACACGTGACTAATAACAAAACTACTGACTACATGCCACAGAGATTAGGAATTTCTGACATTTCTAGCAAATGTGTGCAGTGATAACAATCATAATAAGCAGTGTCCTTTGCTGTGACCCCTACATGTTATTCCCTAGAGCTGCCTACTTTGCCCACTCTTAACTCTGACTCTCCCAAAAAATGGATATTGAGAGTGCAGCACATATAAGCTCCTTACAGCTGGAGAGAGTTCCAGTAAATTGCAAAATTTACAAACCCCACAAAAAAGACAGAGGAAGGAAAAAAGGGGGGAAAAAGAGCAGAAAAAATCCCCCATAAAGTGAATAATTATCAATTGCCCTGGGCATATGAATAAATGAAAAATAAGTGTAGATCTTTTTTCTTTACCCATACACACGCCTCAGAAATATATAAGGGTGCTTTGTAGTATGATGTTGTCTAAGATGGCTACAATAAGGTAAACAGGTTAAATGTGACTAACAAACAATATAATTTCAAAGTTAAATGAGTTTCAATTTAGTGACCTAAAGTCTGGATTAACTAGATAATTTTTATTACATTAAATTAAAAAGTTTTTGTATGAATAAAATAAATGTAGCTAAGTTCAGAAGAAAGCAGAAAACTGGGGGAAAAATTTTACAGACAGTTTCTCAGGTAAAGGTCCCATATCTCAAATATATAAAGAACTTTGTTAAATCTATGAGAATGAGTCATTCTCCAACTGATAAATGGTCAAAGGATGTGAACAGGCAGTTTCCTGATAAAGAGATCAAAACAATTTATAGTTATATAAAAAAAGGCTCTAAATTATTATTGATTAGAGAAGTGCAAATTAACACAACCATGAGATACCATTTTCCTATCAGATTGGCTGAAATGATTAAAGTGGAAAGCAACAAATGTTGGAGGGGATGTGGAAAAACTTGGACACTAATTCACTGTTGGTAGAACTGTGAACTGATCCAACCATTTTGGAGAGCAATCTGGAATTATGCCCAAAGAGTTACTAAAATACCTATACCCTTTGACCTAGAAATACCATTACTTCGTCTATTTCCAAAGATTATTAGGGGAAAAGGAAAAGAACCT